TTTGGAGTTGGTTGCAAGAATCAATGGCATATTGACCTGGTGGACTCGCATTTCGTTTGTCACTGCATTATGTAAAATAATGATAATCACCTCATAAAGTAGACGTAAGTGCACACAGTCCTAATGCTGTGTCCTAAAGACATCTACACTAATCCTCGATTAAGAATCAAAATGTAGTTGCGTTGTCACTCCTGAGGATTAATAATAATAATAATAATAAGGGTTTTGTCTGTGCAATACAGGATCAGGTTATTAAGACCAACAACTATCGGAGATACATCCTAAAGGATGGCACTGTCGACGTCTGTCGAGCTTGTCGCCATCCCGGGGAGTCACTTAGGCATGTCATCTCCGGTTGTTCGGCGCTTTCTAACTCTGAGTACTTGCACAGGCACAACCTAGTAGCCAGAATTCTACACCAGGAGCTCGCTCTGAAATACGGTCTCGTGGATCGGAAATTGCCGTATTACAAGTACTTGCCGGAAGCCGTGCTCGAAAATGACCGCGCCAGGCTCTACTGGGACCGGGCCATCATCACAGACAGGACTATTCTTGCAAATAAGCCTGATATTGTGCTGATGGACCGGGCACAGTCAAGGATATTTTTGGTCGACATTGCCATTCCGTATGACGAGAACCTCGTGAAAGCCGAAACAGATAAGCGAACAAAATATCTGGACCTGGCTCACGAGGTGACCGACATGTGGGGTGGTTGGCTGACCGAAATTATTCCTGTAGTCGTCTCTGCGAATGGGCTAATCCCAGTCAGCCTCTCGGGTCATCTGAGGCGACTGGGACTCCGTGACGGACCGCTCCGGGCTCAAATGCAGAAGGCAGTGGTCCTCGATACCGCCCGCATCGTCCGCCGGTTTCTTTCCCTTTCCTCCTAACCCTCGGCCGTTTGGTCTCCCCTGCCGAGGGCTTCCATCTGGTAGGATCTTTATTTATTTGTGTATTTTTTGTATTTATTTTATTTTATTGATATTTATGTATATTTATCTTTTCATTTTAATTTATATTTATATATTTATAGAAACCAACCAGATGAGAAAACTATACAGATACCCCAAAAATAATAATAATAAGTTCTTTATTTCCAAGAGGTTGTACATCACGATATTTGCATAACATTATTTATTAAAGCTACATTAGTACATATACTTGAAAACATAGCATCTGCATCCGAACTAGGAGACCTGTGCATCAGCTGTCAGCTCCATATCCCCACCATTAATTTATAGAAATATTAGGATGCAAGCAAAAGTTAAATAATCAAATACTATCTAAAAATTTGTACATTCCGCTAATATAACCTAAGTACAATGAAATTAATTGTATCACATATCATGTTTATATACTATATTTTAGTTATATACTTATTACTAATATCAAGGTACAAACGATTAAGATAGAATGCCACATTTCTTGTCACAAGGGGTCTCCAGTTTTGTAGACTTACCATACGAAACACAACAGCATTAACCTGCTATTTTACGTTGGTATCCTGAAGTGCATGGTCGCTCCGCAATCAAGCCAACCTATTTGTGCTATAACCATAATATAGCTACAGCATAGCTCTACCACGTATTAACTTTCTATCCTTTCTAAAATTTTTCTGAAACAATTAGCATAACCTGAACAGAAGTTTTATCAATAATAGTATATTGTAGTATTAGCGCATCACCGACCCACTAAGATTTCTGCCGTGTTACAATCCTTTCTATACAACCATTTTTTTGTTTTTGCTGTGTGCAGTAAATAATTATTCATCTATTTATCTATCATATGGTTACGTCACAGAAAATTAACAAAAAATGTAATTACATACATCCAATATCTCCCATTAATAGAATCAGGCGTTACTTTGAGGATATCCAATATCTACGAGTATACATTTATTAAAAAGGTAAGTTGTAGTCTGTAAAAAATAATGAAGAGGGACTAAAAACTGTTATGTGCGATGTGTAGAAAATTATATGACGCAAGATTTAATTCTCTATACATACTTAGTTTAACAAGCAACTACAACGAACTAGGTAACACATCACATCATTTTATTTTATTACGCGTATTTTAGCTGATTAATCTCCATCTCTCCAAATACTATTGTTTCGTAGGAGAATATTATAGCTCCCTATATTCCGGGAGCCCAGTTCAAACAAAAGCCTCGGCTGCGTAGCGGCATCGTACAATGCGAGCCCCCGGCGCCGCGCGATTAGCCTTCATTTATAACAATTATCCAATGCTTAAGTTTAGGAACACCTTCATTAATAGAGTAGCCCGCTTCGTATAATTTCGAATCTCGCAACCCGTATTCAATAGCTCCTCTGCCTGAACGGTTAAGGCTCAATAAGGTGAGGTCAGCCACGTTAATTTCCTGTGCTATTAAAAACAAATTAGAGAGCAGGGTATCGTGTTTGATTTGATTAAAGTTTGAAATTTGTTTAATGGTGTATTAAGGCGTTTTCTGTGGTAGAGCCATGGTTGCGCTGTACTAGCGGTGCAGTGCGAATGATTGTTTTTTGTTTTTGAAAAGAAAACTCCTTTAGCATCGTTGTGATTTGAAAGTCTATGAAACGAAAAAGCGACAGTAAAAAGAAACAGACTTATAAATTCATAAGATTTAACGTGGGAGAAAATGAGATATGAAGCATTACAGCTTAATGCTCGAGAGAAACGGCGTCGCTTACGCGTTTTGTTCAAGGTTCGAAGATGTCGTGAGCCTATGTGTGGTGAAGACAAGAACGGCCAAACCTGAACTTCATAATAGGTAAAATTGAAAAAAAACTTTTTGTAATTAGTGATTACTATACTTCTTCAAGGAATAACTTCTATTTAATCTTCGTCAGCTTCAGGCCGTTAAAGTAGTGAATGGTGCTATTGCTACTAGTTTTTAAAAACCCGCTATAAGAGTGTCTTCACAAGTGCTACAACTTAAATTTTTTGGTTAATATAATTCATCATCGATTTTGATATTCGTTGCAAATATTTTGAATTTTTGTGGCCGTCGGATTTAGCGGTGGGTATTTATGTATTATAAAAAACATCCGTGCAGCTCTTACGCGACAGAAGTGAAACCTTCAAATGAAATGAAATATAAAATACAACTACTTTACGGCAAACGATTTATTTAATATAATATTTTAAACTACAAGTTCGGCATAAAATTTGAGAAAATTTACTTTTATGGTTAACCCTCAGAAATGAGAGGAGGCCTGTGCCACCAGTGGGACGTATACGAGCTGTAACTTTACTTTACTTTAACTTTAAAGGTAACAATCCTTTTATTATATATATTAGACACATAAATATTATATTTTATTTTGAGTAAAATTATAATACTGGCGTATTCGTACTTCATTTTACAGGTAGTAACTTTATTGAACAATTGATTGACACCCAACGTGTTGCCCCAAAATAGACGCTAGATGGCCTGTATTTATGAAATCATAAATTTTTAATTTCAAAGTTTCACTTCTGTCACGTGTGCGCTGCGCATGTTTTTTTGTCTAAGTGGCAAACGAACTTACAGTCCACGTTATGGTAAGTGGCTCCTGCAGCAGCCCGCGAGTGCCTGCAGCCAACTCTCTCCTCGACTGTCCCAAAGTCGTTTCGGAAAAATCGCTGGTGGCATTCAATTTCAAACAAAGAAGAAGTCAAATAAGTTGTGCGAGCGAGTATTCGTATGGTAAATTGTGTGATTTACCATAAGAATTTGATCATCCAGATTCAGTTATGTTCATAGCGTCACGCCTGTAATCCACGAGATAGCAGAAAGAGTCTAAAAAGTAGCGAGCTACTGGAACCACGTCAAGTAACACAGTGGCACATTCCTCTTTGTTATGGTGCCATATAAACATGGATCGTACAAGTCTCAGGGCAACATGACGCATCTTTTCTATTAACATGTTGTATTGTTTTCTTATATCGTGCTCGGTAGTAATCGGTGTTCTCTTCCGAGGATTTGTGCACCTAATGGCGGGGACGATCTTGATGGTATTTATAGAATTCAGATATTCAGGCGTCTCAGAGAGGTTTTTCAAAATATCGTCTATATTAACTTCTTTTACGCGGGTTTTTATACAGCATATTGTTTATTATAGAATAAACAATATGCTGTATACTACATAGGTAGAATATATAGAAGAGACCACATTCACCATAAACCTTGTACACTCCTGCATCTTGTAAAGGGATATTATACGACCTATTATTCACCAGAGTTTTGTAGTGTTTTAATGGAAGTCCGCTTCAAGATGTAGTTAACCGTGTCTGCGACTCCTATGACAATTCCAGCCTTTAAAACAGGAACTGCTGGAACGTAGAAGTACGTTCACCGCTCGGGGACAGAAAAAGGTAAGATGGTAGATTCAATCCAAACGGACTTGCAGGAAGATAATAGGCCTGTGTTTATTCGTTCGTACATGAACGTTTCTTAGAATCTTAGAAACACGATTTTGTTTGCCGTTATGATGATATTTGCAAAATAATAAGCATATTTAGTATTCTCATTTCAGGAGAAGATTCAGTGCTAGTCTTGCAACCACAATTTTTATATTGAGTTTAAATAGATTTATTAAACAAAATAATGAACATATTCTAATATCACTATTTCTACCAGAAGATATAAGTTGCGTTCATTTAGTAACTATTCGATATCTATAGGAGGCAATGCAGGAATTACAATTATTACAATATAAGTACTGGAGTAATATGATCCGTGAACTGTTAGGAAAGACGGGACAAAAAACGTCGTTAGTAATGGCGGCCGGTGGGCACCGAGCACATTTCAATAGTTTCCCGAGAGAGCGGCGTGACAAATCCGTGGCGCGCGGTGACTGACCGTGCGCATGCATTTTCATCTCGGAGGAAAAACGCGGCGTCGACGCGCGTTCCGATCGCGGGTAATGAGGCTGTTCCCAGCGCGGGTGAAAAACGCCGCGTTTCTGTGAACCAGGGGCGGAAGCAGTCACCAGTCCACACGCTCCCTTCAATGACATTTCTGATCTCGATTGAACGGCTAAGTCTACTTGCGACTACGCTTCTTTTGAATGTTGCTGGTAGTGTTCAGGTCTACTTAATTTATGATTACCGTAAAATCTTCAGTCATTTCACGTAAGACCTTTTCCAATTCTTAAACCCTTCTTCTTCTTACTGTATTTATTCAATAGCGACGCACCCTAAATATTCAAGACTATTTACTAAATCAATTTTTCGATTTCCCAAAAAATATCTTGGATAAAATATAGACTAGATCCCTCCAGGCTAGTGCTAGCTCAGACAGACAGACAGACAGACAGCTGCCACGCGCGGCAGGTGGGTGGCGCCGCAGTTGTCTCACTGCTTCGGGTTCTTGTCAGGAAGATGCTGCTGTCCGTCTTCTGTTTTAGTTTCCAACTGTCGCCTCTTTATCACTAATTGATTTAGTCTCTTCATTTAAATATTTCCCTGTTACTACGTTTCGTTCTGTAACAGCCGTCGAAAGTGCGATTATTTCTTTTTTCATCTCTCAAAGTTTGTATCAAATACGATTACCTTTGATGACCCTTTATTTTAACCTTTGAAACTGGGAATAAAGAGGCATTTAACAACTTTTTAACCAGTGACGTAATTTAGGCTAGAAAGCGACATACATATAGATATATACTTGTAAAATCCAAAAAAGATATTTCTGTAACACGTATGTACACTTCAGCTTCTACTTTTTAAGCATTAGTCGCCAATGTAAGCTTCTGTGACATGTAAATTTAGTTTAAGTATCTTAGTTAGCTTAACTACGAGTATATTAATTTCAACTCGGATGTGATTTAAACACTCAATAAAAATGTAAGCCCAGACGTCGACAAGCTTTCTACTTATACATCATGAGTCCCATAAGCTACGTGTAGACGCGGACCTAGTTGCAGTCGGATCGACATAGGCGCTGCGATCCGGGGGAGAAGGGGGAGCGGAGAGCGCATAATATAATAATTAACGAATGATTATGCGGCGGGTGTCTCGCGGCGATATGCGATCGGTCGTTTTTGCGCCCCTCAATCTCATTCCGGGCGCGGCGACATTCTGTGTTACGCAGATAACTGCTCGCTAAGAACTAGTAAATGATCTTTTTTTATGTATCTATCATACCTGATCGCGGTACCAGAAAGCGGGTACCCCTTTTTCTCCTCATTACTAGGGTCAGTGCGTCACGCAATTTAAATATCATTCATTACACGAATTATATTTCAAAAAGAAAGCTTGCGTAAAACTCTAGTGAGAATCGAACTTAAATCCACCTGATGAAAAAAGCTGTAGCTCTATATTATAGTTGTAGCACAAATGTGGCATCTGTGCTGGGGAAGGACCACGCACAGAATACCAGCGTAAAATGGCAGGTTATTGTTTCTGTGTTTTGTATGAAGAGTTTAGAGAACCGGATACCCCTATTTACAACTAGGCATTCCATCTTAGTCATCGGGGGCGACACAGCATCTAATTTTGGTTTCTAATTAAGGGTCTACTTTGATTAAAACTACTTTTACGGATTTTATCGCGTTTATTATTATTACCCGGAGCTTTTTTAAATTATTGTTAAGATCGGACCATTAACAATAATTAAAAAAGCTAAAGTACTCCGGATTTAACAATGACATCGGGACGTCACATCATCTCAGTCCCCCGTGACCATGGGTGCTGGACGAAATGTGGAATAAAAATAAAAGTAGTTAAAAGTAAAATAAACGCGATCAAATCCGTAAAAGTAGTTTTAATCAATGTGTAGTATTCGCGTAAATATAAGAAATCATTAAGGGTCTACTTACCACTGATTGTGTGCTCTTTAGCCACTTTAGACTAAAACATTTTAGGATAACGTCCCATTATGCTGTAAAAAGTAACTTCAGCAATCTATAGACACCTGCAGCCAATTTCAAACAAACAGGCTACATATGCGTTGTCTCCTCTGAGAACTGAGAAGAGGAATACCTCAAAGTTTGTAATTATCCTGTCTCTGTATGTCCTTCAGACTGGAGCAGCGGTGCGAGCGCTGCTGGTTGCGGCAGAGCCAGGCACGAGCTTGATTTCTAACCAGACGGCTTCCTAGCCGGAAAACGGCTCCTACCTCTTGGCAACTTCTACTGGTTTTGTGACTGAGTGATGTAAATGTACCAATTCATAACCTATATACTTGTGGTCCTCAGTCCGCATGTTGGTATTTGGATCACAATTATCATCATCACATTAGATGAATTAATTTCGGTTACTTTAGATTGTCAGTCATTTGTTGATATTAAATGGTAGGACTACTTGTTGAATAAAACTATATTTACAGATTTTATGGGTAGCCGAAATGGGTGCTGAAAAGCACCCGAAACGTCGGGAATTTAAAAATAAGTTAAAGTAGTTAATTACACGACAAAATCTGTAAATATAGTTTTATTCAATGTGTAGTGCTTGCGTAAATTTAAGAAATCATTTTGATAGACTACCTTCTTGAAGATGTTAATAAATAGTAGTTTAGACCGCTAAGCTACTTGAGAGTCTTCCTCGCCTGCGGATGCCTCGTTTAGAGCTGAAACAAATGTGTTGTGTCTTTTCTAGTGTCGTGGTGTTGGGAGTAGTGGTGCTGGGATTAGTGGTTACGGGGATAGTGCATGTAAAGTGTCTTAGAAAGCACGTAAAGCCGTTGTCCCTGCGCCTGATTTCAATCTGGTCGTGTCGAATTACCGTCCCATCGGACTATGAGAGTGAGAGTATAGAGGACGCCCTTGTGTTTGCGTACACACTCGTGTACTATCATCCTATCCTACGCAAGTGGTGTCATAGGGGAAATGGGTAGACGGGGCCGGGACCTGCTGTTCAAACGAGGTAAGAATTTTATTTTATTACGCAAATCTTAGCTAATTAATTTTTGACGTCTTTAATATAATGGATTTCCGCAAAGTAACGCCTGATTATATTAAGGACTACCTTATGCCTAGGTGTCCGTCTATCAACTTTTTACGTATTTCTTTCGACAACCGGCAGCAAATTCATTGTTTTGTAGGTGTTTTTAAGTTATGAAAACCAGTATAAATGCAGGATGTTGCATTTTACATAATTCTCAGGAATAACAATGCAGTAATTTGCTGTAGCAACTTGCCATCAGACGGCGTGAGTTAATATTATAGAAATACGTCGTCAACCTTTATTTATTTTTTTGGGGCACACGTAGGGAAATGTTTACATGGTGTTCCACCTTCGTCGCATATTGGCGACGTCGAGGAAATTCTTTCGCACACATCCACTGCAGCCGCTCCGCGGGGGAGGACTTCTTCTCCCTCTTTTCTTTCTCAGGTAAGGCGCACTAGGAACATCGGCACAGCGAAACTTCGACATTGTCAACTTTATACTTACTATACTCTTGGAACAACTTCACGCTTGGAATTGTTCTATTTGGAATGTTTTTTGTTTGAAATATCATATTTATTTTAAAAAAGAACATGTAATCAATTTACACGCCGCAGAAATAATACCTTCAGAAAACTAAACTTCGACAGAATGAGACGAATGCAGAGTATCAGGAGTAGCGTAGTTGTAGCGTTTACGTAATTAAAATATAAGTAAATTTATAGCAAACTGTGTATACTGTATTCTATCTCATCCTCTCGCAGGTTATATCCTATAGATGTATATGTTTGCCTTTTTTCAGTGCCGCTGTTTCGTTTCGTCGAGTTTTAAATCACAATGATTGTAAAGAAGTGTTCACTTCACATGCGGCTGTAATGTTGCACAACAATGGCGGACGTGAAAGCAAAATCAGTCCTTGCTAGTATTCGCATCATTTTCGTTAATTTAATACATTAACGTGACTCGATAGTTTGAATTACTGATTGTTTACATTTACGCGGCGGCTGAGAAGCCATTAATTGAGTTCGTTTGAGGAAATGCTCGCTTTGATGATGCCGGTTACGTATATGGACAGCTAAAGAAACACCAAACACCGTTTTTCTTACTAACGCATTCCAATTAGGTGTTCTAATATTTTATTTGCTATTTTATATAATCAATGTGCATTATTTGTGTTCAATTAATTGCATAGCACACGTTATTTCGCTGTATAAGTGCTATCCGATGCTTATGGAAAATTTAAATTGCTAGCAGCCCTAGCCCTTGAATATGTTTAAGACTTGATTACTTCGACTATTCTTGTAAATGTATATTACGTTACAAGATACGTCGCGAGAGTATATATTTGACAAATTCTGAATTAGTAAAATTATGTGTAAGTAATTAACCCAATGAAATGAATAATTTTTGCATAATACTTATTGATTTTTTTTTATTTGCCACTGGCTTGGAAAAAATCTCTCTCCTGAGAAGAACCAGCAAGAAACGCAGTGGGACTTTTTTTAAAGGTATTTCACTTTACACTAATTTTGTTTGTACAATTATTAAATGAATTTTTATAGAACCAGCATGGCCGCGATAACCTCATTTACAGGGTTATTTTCATTTATGTATTCTTTGATATTATAATAACCCTTTTTGTACACTTTTCTTTAATAAAATATTTAAATTAACATTAAACAACAATGACAAATTTTGTACATTTTCTGGGATGTTGTTGTAAAAGCGTATACGTTGCCCCTTAAATGAATTACTAATTCTAAAGAGTCTAGTAACTGGTATTACAAGCTTATGTTTGTTCCTAGTGTGTAAAGTATGAATATCTTTATTCTTATGAAAGCTATTTATGTTTTTATGTACATACATTACATTTTCATAAATGCCGAAGTTAATATGTTTATTTCTCTCTTACATTTTTCTCTAAGGGACTCTTTACAATTTAAGTTATAAATCACCCGTACGGCGCCTTTTTGAAAAACAAATATAACTTCAGTGTCAGTCGCATTACCCCATAGCAAAATTTCGTAAGAAATTTCTCTATGAAATAAACTAACCTAGCTGTCTCAACATTGATGAGAATTGTAATCTTTCTTACTGCATATGCTGCAGAACTAAGTCTGCCTGATAATTTAGA